TGGCATTAGACGAAGGTGGGTTGTTAGACTCACGCTCCAACCGTCTTAACCCCCTGGAAAAAAATCATTAAAGCGCCCTCTGTGAGGGTTACAGGTTACCAGGCATTTCCCGCTTGTCTTTTTGATTGAGACACAATGAGGCTACGTGTTTGACTTCAGTTTAGCTGAGGAGGTATCTAAAAATACGTTGTTTAAAAGTTAAGCCCGTACCTGAAAGAGAACGCGACGTTAAGACTTCAAACTGTGAAGTCCGCCGTTCTGTTATTCAGCAGGTATTTTGGATATGCGTCGTGTCTGTGCTGAGAAGCGCCTTCTTTGGTAGGCCGGTCGGTTTCTTAATTATTTTAAGACGCTGTATCAGTCACTAAGTGTCGAAAGAAATTGATGAATGATGAGGGATTGTGAAGGAGCCGATAGTGGTTCATTGTAGGAAGTGGTCCTTCATTTCTTAGACCCAGAAGAGAAATCCGATTGTCTCGGTGGGATGACACGGGTTGAATTTCCCTGGGCAAAACTGAGAGAGAGTATTAATGGAACATGGGTTTGCAGTCTTGACTGTCGAGAGGGCGTTTCATGCAGCGAGGGTGATCAGAAACAAAGGCCCAAGAGAAGAATAGGTTGGGGTTGGAAGAATTTGTTAATCTGATCTGGGTTAAGATTAATTTGCTTCAGTCGCCGCTTGGATATTTCGTTACAGTTAACGTGCACTGACATCTGACGATGCTAAATCGACGGATCTCTGTCTCGTCCTTACTCAAAGCAGTTTCTTAGATTTATGAAACGCAGACTGTAATTTATGCCACCTTTGTAAACATTTATATTCGTTATCAGTACAATTATCTTCGTGCGTTAGCATGCATTAAACTTGTGAAGTACGAAATTCTTGTAAATAACACCTCATCCATGAAGATGGAGACGATGTCGAGTCTACACGGCATCAAAACCCAGAAGACATCAGCTTCTTAAAGAATTCAGTCCGTACCGCGAAGAAAACACAATTATTCACCATTACAAAGATTAACTTGTTGACGCTGATTAAAGAAATAATCGCTGTTTATAGTGAGAATTATTGTTCGCCTGAATAATATTTAAGAAATCAGTCCGTACCGCGAAGAAAACACGACACTTCACCGTTAAAAAGATCTAATGGTTAACAGCTGTTTAAGGAAATAATCGCTGTGTATTGAGATAATCATGCGAGACACGTAAGTGCACTCTATGGGGGAAAATGCATTCTTATTGAATGTTAAACGAGGTGGTACATATATTTACCACTGTGCTGTAAAGGGTTACGAGCACCATATGTATCTGTTCGCGTGTTTAAGTTATTTCTAGACGGATTTCAATCAAGTACACTCT